ACTCCCAGAGCATGCTGCTCGGAGTGCTCACCGCTGTCAGCGGAATATCACTCGCTCTTACGAGCATTTGGTAATACCCATCGACCAAGTCGAGTGCACTATACTTCGTACCTCCCGCCATGTTGTTCTGAGAACATCCTTTCAAGGTATCGGCATCTGTGCCGTAATGCTGGCAGCGTTAAGCTTTTTGTAAGCATGAACGATACGCCACTTGCCGTTCGGCTTCCGGACACAAAACGTGGGTGTCGAATGGGCAGACTTGCTCTACGCACGCATGCCATCACTGCGTCGTGCTTTGCACGGAAAAGGCGTCAATGACATCGCACTGCTCCTTGGTCAGGGGCCATTGGCTTGTGACGCAGTATTTGGTTCGTCGATCGCATGACGCACACCTCAGTCCGGAGGTAGGACTAAAGGCGGGTCTTTGGAGACAACGACTTAAAAATTCTTTACCAAAGGATAGTACGAATCCGATGGACTCTCCAGGATCATAGACCCACTTCGTGTGTTTAGCATCCTCTTGGTGTCCTCCAGGAGAGCTTCATCCTGAAGTAACGACGAGCAAATCTCCTCGTTAGTCATACAATGACCACCTCGGCTAAATTGCCTGCCTTCAAATCACCGCCAAGCTCTTCGATGGACATTCAAGATAAGCATCCACCGCGGGAGTAGCCTCGAGGGTGACGTCCCTGTCTTCCTCGCCCGTCATACCGTTGACAATGGTGTATAACTGTGCGCTATCGCCTACGGTAGACACACCCTGGAGCTGGGCTGACGTCGTGCGCCTTGCAGATAATATATAGCATGGCCGTCTCCTCTCAATAGATGTTCTGCGTCTTGTCGAGACCAGTAGGGACATGCAATCGGCGTCGTCCGGTGTCCCTACTCCAAGCTCCATCGGAACCTTTACGTTATAAACAACATCCGAGAAAGAGCTGCTTCATCCGCAGTCTTCGTCCAGTAAAATTCACGCGCATTAGAACATGAGGCAACTGCTTCGTAACGATAGCAGTTCTCAGTGGGCTTCGTGTCACTCTACGTGAATCACTGGGGCCTCGCTCTCGATGGCTCGGCCCTTGGCCGACCATGCCAGTCTTGGCATGCAGCAGTTGCTTTATTAATTGATTAGTACTCAGTGGGTTACGTGCCACTCCAAGTTCAGCCCGCGAGCCATGCTCGGAGCTATTGTCCAACACACTTTCGGTGCTCGAGAACTCGGATACTCCGATATCCAGCACATTGACCGTCCCGGTCCGGTGCCCGCTCCAACAGCGCTTCTGCTTTCTAGCAGAGGTGGGTTCATGACTCACCAAAGCTTCACCAGAGACGTGCGCGTAGCGCCCAAGAACATCGAATTCCAATCAATCCATGGCTCATGGTGCTGCAACAATGCCATACCAAGGATAAGGTCAACCCTTGAATCCACATCTAAGTCGAAGCAGCGTTTCACTCTATCGAAGTCAAGAAACTTGACACCTAGGTCCACAGGGACCCTCGGCAAAGTGACGGTGTCACTCGACCGCGCCTTCAGCGCCTCAGCATACCGCTGATTTCCTTCAATCTTGGAGCGTCGAGCATTATTGCCTGACGCCCCGGAATCGATGAACATCTTCCATGGCTTCTCAAAGCCCTTCACGGTCGCTTTTACGACCAGCAAGCCCAGCTGTCATACACGTTCCGTGTTCAAGAACACGGAGCACTTTTAGGCTGGGCCCTGCTGCTTTCTACCTCTTTAATGCTTAACAGAACACAGTTCGTCCCCAGTTGGGCGCCCCGCTTCTACTGGGTCTTGTCATTTCCTCGCGACAAACCAGACTGCACTAAAGCGAGATGTCGGTTCACCAAACCTCTACACGCCTTGAGCAGGGGGCAACCAGCCCGTAAGTTAGGGTGACTCTACAGACAAAATACCGCCGGGTTTTATATGGTGCGCGGTAGCTCCGAGCTCTCCCTCCTCTTTCTCAGCATAGCTAGAATCCATTGGCTCAGGCCCGATCGACGAGCTCTATGGTTGTGTAGTCCAACCAAGTTGTGTCGACTTAAGGTTGAAAATGGCAGTCAATGCCACTTTCACCGCTTCTTTAAAAGACGACGGATGAGAAACACGGAAGACTTCCTTTCTGGCCACACCAGTGCTGAGGCCCTCCATAAAGACGGTCACTGTGACCGCCTTGGGGAGAAAATTGGCTGCCATCCCGGCAATGAGAGTACGCAAATCCTGGACAAAGTCCACTAACTCCTTTTTGACCTGTCGGGCGGCAAGGAAACGCGATCGCTCGCGAAATGCCGACGAAAACACTCGCAGAAGCTGCATCTTCAGCTCCTTCCAGGAAAGGAACGCCGCTTCAACCGAAGTGCCGCACGTCAGTGCCCATTCTCGCGCACGACCACCGAGCTTTGAGATAGCTAGCGCCACGCGCTGTTGCTCGTTCTGGAGCATAGCGAATGCCATAGCCATCTCGGCCTCTCTCATCTAGTGCAGGAGATTATATTTTTTCTTACCCTTGAAAGTCTCAGCACTCGCGATGAGCGTCCTAGGTCGGGAGGAGACATCCGTCGTCGACGGTGGCGTCATGGATGCAGTCGACGCCAACATCTTTTGCTGCAGGTGCTCTTCCAGAGCATTTTCATAGCTCAAAAACGCCTTCAGGCGTATGCTTATCGCTTCGTGTCCTTGCGAAGCAAGGTGTTGCACACCTTCAGGGCCGTGCAGAAACATCAGCTTATAAAGCATGTCCTGCATACCCTGGGGCAAATAGCAAGTTTGATCAATCCTCACAAATAATCAGTCGGAACAACTCAGGCTTTAAAGGGGTTACTCATACCCTGGTAACAGGGGTGTGTGTCACACCAGATGGGTACGGGTGTGACCACACCCAAACAAGAATATGATACGGGGATGGATGGTCAGTAGTTATACATGTATTTAGATTTTACTATACATATTTAGGAAAATCTATGCATTTCAAATTAGGCGGCTTTGCCGCGAATAAAACTAATAAAAGTCGGTTTTTGATTTTAAACCGAGGAGTTC